GAAACCATTGAAATTGAAATGGGAGCGGGTGCTTGTATGAACGACTTAATTTTAGCTCTAAATAATCTGAAGCTTGCAGATCCTTCGGTAGACATAACAGCGGATGAGTACCTTGAAGTGGATAACAGCTTGGTTAGTACAAAGTTACCAACAGAAGAAGATATATTCGAATTTCTGATAGCTGAAAGTGCATTGCAGCAACATGTTGAAGAAGACTCGAGCGACGAAGAGGAAGACGATTATTTCTGTGCGAACGGGAAGACAAGCACTTGATATAGTTAGAGCAAAGAGATTTTACCACAGAAAGTGATGTAAAATATATATCGTAGTATAATTCACGACGCTTAGATGAATCCGTAGAAAAGGCTAAACGCCAACTTTCATTAACTGATTCATTAGCCAATAACAATTACTACCTCATTTGTATCCCACCTCAGATATATCCCATCTCAAAAGTGGGAATATAAAGAGATATGCCACTGTATGTTGTGATCCGTGATGTTAAAACTGCATATAAGCTTTGGCTAATAGTTGCAGGGCAATCGGGAATTTACCCGCCAGGTGCGCAAAACACTATTCTTCATTGGATGCTCAGCGGCCAAAAATCCCCATCCCAAAAGTGGGCATATAAAGAGATATGCCACTCTGATTGTGATCTGTGATGTTAAACTGCATACATAAGTTTCGGCTAATAGTTGCAGATTGTGGTTCAAGATAATCAGGAATTTACCTACCGGGTCGCACAAAACACTATTCTTCATTGGATGCTCAGCGGCCTTTCCTATAAATAGGACCTTTATAAGCACGTTTATATAGACACTTTTGTTGGATTATAATAATATCTCCATCATCCCAAAGTGGGAAGAGGTATTAGTATGACTGTATGTTGCGATCTGCGATGTTAAACTGCGCATCGGAAATTTACCTGCCCAGGGTCGCACAAAACACTATTCTTCATCGGTAAATGGAAAGCACACAATGGGCAACCCATTTAGTCACATTTCTGTTAGTCACTATCACACAGATACCGTGTCACTCGTCGAAATTTATTAGTAAAACACATGAAAAATATATAATATATAATCAATTAGCTTCAAAATTATTGTAAATACGTACAATCAAAATTTTAGAAAAAAAATTTTTTTTTCCTAGTAAATTTCGAATACTTTTAATTACTCACTGTATATGTAATTTCCTCCCTTTTAGTCACATTACGTGAACAAAATATTTAATAGTTGTTGCGTACATGTGATCATGTTTTAATTA